GTAGTTTCTATGGTCTATGTGTAGTTTCTATGGTCCAGGTGTAGTTTTTATGGTCCAGGTGTAGTTTCTATGGTCCAGGTGTAGTAAGTTTTGCTATCTAAATACCTGCTAAAGAGTATCGGTCCAAGCGCGGAACCCTGAGGAACTCCATGACTAACTCTGAAGATGAAGAGTATTCATTAATAACAAGAAAATTGTCCCGTGTTGCATATTGATTTTACCGAATGGAAACAAAGTCCTTCTCTTCTTGGACTTGATCACTTGTTTTTGACTCTGCAGGTCAAGTCTCTGGCCGACTCCATGGACGACTCCCTCACCTGCCAGTCCGGCCGGGAGGACTCGCAGGATGTTGGGGGAGAAGGCGAAGATGATGAGGACGAGGAGGAGGGAGACGATGATGAGGAAGAGGAGGAAGAGGAAGGGGAGGAGGATGAGGAGGAAGATGAAGAAGACTACAGACAGTGCGGATGGCGCAACACAAACACAGCTTCCAGACGAGCGGCCGGCCCGGTGGGAGGAGGCAGGGGAGGAGGAGCCTCCATGCACGAGGACAGCACCGCCACCTCCTTCAGCGACGTCACTCTGTACATGGACGAAGGCTGCCTCCCCTCCTCGCCTCTGTCCCGACCCGCCTCCAGCTCCGACACAGACTACTGGGGAGGAGGAGGCGCAGGGGGGAGGGAGGACAGCAGGGAGACTGAGGGAGGCAGCAATGCCAGCCGTAGGAGCAGCACTCCCTGCACCGAGTGTCGGGGGGAGTACAGAGGGAGGGCGGGGGGAGGAGGAGGAGGACACCTCCCTGTCCTGACAATAGAACCACCGAGCGACAGTTCAGTGGACATGAGCGACAGGTGAGACTTCAAGCATGAATTTAATTTTTATTTCTAGTTGTTTTTTTGGTGAATTTGAGATTAATGAATGTTCAGCGTGACGTTTGACCAAACATCCACCCAGCAGGGGGCACTACAGAACCAAATGATGCAATACAAAATCTGAACAAAGTTAGGAAAGAAGAAAAATGTAAGGTGAATTAAAAAATACAATAATTCTTAATTTTACTTTGACTTTATTTCATTACTGACAGAATATGAACCCTAGATGATTCACGTTTCATTAGTTTTGATTCAGTCCCAATAAGGTATTTTTAATTAAATTTGTATCTGCCAGCATAAAGCAAAATAGTGTATAATGGATTTGTATGTGTTTCCTTGGCTGTGTGTCAGCAAAATATCTCATGAATGACTAGATAGATTTGAATAAATCTCAAAAAGTAATTACTAGATTTTCATCAACAACAGTCAAATCAAGATGACCACCAAAGCCAGCTGAGTTTAGGAAGCACAAAAAGGCTGAAACTCAAGCGTTGTTACAGATATTGAGCTGAAAGTTGTTGTTGTTGTCGCTGAGACTCATTCATTACAAAACACTAAATATTACAAAAAACTGTTACTTAAAAGTGTGGTTTTAACTGTTAACAGTCAATCCTGTTTGTAAGCAAAATACCTTATGGGTAGACAGATTTGATTGAAACTCTCAGAAACATTTGTTACCTGTGGGGTTTCCCAGGGCTCAGTCCTGGGACCCCTGTTTTTATATTTTGCCTCCTTGTCAGTTTGTTTTTAGAAATATTACATTCATTTTCTCTGTTACGCGGATGACACTCAGCACTAAGGAGCAGTGCTATCTGCCCTTTCATTCATTCATTCGGCCTTTATTTATACAGTTTAATCCCAGTGAGCCTCGGGGACTCATTTACAAGAGAGACCTGAACTGAGCTCTACCTCCATGCTAAACTCATGTCCATTACATCCTACTTTGCTTAACAGGATAGAAGAGAACAACAACTAGGTCACTAAAAACTTCCTCTCAGCAACAATAAAACAGAACCCCTTCCTTTTGGCTCCAAGTCTCTTTAAATCTGATTCTGAGTCATCACTGTTGTTTCTATAAATCCATTCCTTCCCTTATAAAAGTTAACGTGCCAGGTGGCGGGCGATATGCATTACCAAAACAAATACCACTTTTATTACTCTCCTTGAACTAGAAGGTAATTGTGAGTAGAAGTTGGTTCAGGTGGTGGAAAGTTCCTTCCGTTAGTTTGAATCCAGCATGAGAATTTCTTTGCAATTTATTCTGATTATTGTCTGCTACAGGTTAAACACTGACTTCCTATAAAACTCCACGCAGCCCAACGTTAAAAAAGAAAAAACAAGAGTACGTCTTTAGTTTCAGGATCTGTTAAAGGTTTGGTCGTTTGCTGATCTTCAGGTCGGAGCGAGGGTCCATCGGACGCCTGGTCTACGAACAGGAGCCCTCGGGAGTGGAGCGAGGAGGAGAACGGGGGATGGGTGGAGGAGGAGGAGAGGACGCTGAGAGTGGAGAGGACGAGCGAGGTGGAGGAGGTGGAGGAAGCAGCGAAGCCGACTCGCCGCAGGGAACCATCAAACACAAACCCAACGGCCGATCAGTCGCCATGGCGCAGGGACAAACCCGCAGCCCCGCCAACGTCCCCCTGCCGATGCCGTCAGCTCGGACTCTTACCTCACACCCCATGCAACACCAACACCCTCACCCCCACCCCTCACCCATTCCTCACCTCCCCACCATCCTCCACCACCACCCGCAGTACAGCCAGCCCCACGTCATGTACATGCACCACGCGCACGGTGGCAGCCCCTACATGCCGCATCACTTCGCCCAGCATCACTACCACCACCTGCACCACCAGCACCATCATCTCCCCCATTCTTACCCAGAGCCCCCCCAGTCCCCGCTGCCCTCCCCGGTTCCACCCCTCACACCCCTGTCGCCGCTGCCCCCGCCGCTCACGCCCTCCCCGCTGTCCTCCACCTCCTCTTCAGCTCTCCAAACCATGGAGGCGCAGCAGCAGCACCTGGCCCACCACGCCCACCTCCACCACCACCACCTGCTCTGCTCCGACGGCGACAACGAGAGCGTCAACTCCACCACCACCAACTCCAACGATGACACCACCGTCAACAACTGCAGCTCGGGCTCGTCGTCGCGCGACAGCCTGCGGGAGCCGATCGCAGGAGCTCCGCTGGGGAAGCAGACCTACCAGAGAGAGAGCCGCCACAGCTGGGACTCCCCCGCCTTCAACAACGATGTGGTGCAGCGGCGGCAGTACCGCATCGGACTCAACCTGTTCAACAAGTGAGCTGACAGAACTGTGCAAAAGTCCTGGTCCAACCCTTACCCCCCCGGTCTTCTCACAAATGGTCAGATTAGCTAAAAGTAATAAAACATAGCTACAATTTGAAGAAGCAAAATAGCTAAAGTAAAATATAAAGGTAGCAGAAGGCTAACTAAAAGGAAGAGAAGCTGTTATGATGGATCACATTTTAAGACTTCACCTCCTTTAATAAATCTGTAAAGTTTGAAAATCAGCTCCTGAGATCTCTGCAGAGTGGAGCAGAAAAGAGATAAAACCACAGACGGCCATGTTTGTTTGGTCTGCAGGAAACCAGAGAAGGGGATCCAGTACCTGATCGAGAAGGGCTTCGTGTCGGACACCCCGGTGGGCATCGCCAGGTTCATCCTGGAGAGGAAAGGACTGAGCAGGCAGATGATCGGAGAGTTTCTGGGCAGCCGGCAGCAGTTCAACAAGGACGTGCTCGAGTGAGTCCAAACGATCACAGAACTGTCGTTTCTATTGTCAAGAAGAGGTTCTTATGGTTTATAGCAGTGGTTCCCAACACGGAAGCATGGTGGCACAACTGGTAGAGCTGCAGGGACCTTTCTGGGTGGAGTTTGCATGTTCTCTCCGTGCTGCGTGGGTTTTCTCCGGGTACTCCGGTTTCCTCCCACAGACCAAAAACATGCA